ACTCATATAAACTTAAAAAATGTGATAAGCTTTTAAAAGTAGAGATTTCAAGCTTTAAAACCCTTTTTTTAAATTTGAATTTCATTCATTATTGACGAAGATATTGTATATACAACTTTGAGCTAAAAAATACGCGATAACTTTTTACTACACCTAATAATAATAGAATTCAAACTTCTTATATCCCTTATTTTAATACTATCATTAACACGCTGTCATGTTGTTATTGCTATCATCCGATTTCAACTTATTTCCATTGACTTATGTGCATAAAGTTATACATACAATTAGTCTCTCTTATATTTTTCGTTTCCTTCTTAAATTCTTTTTATTTCGAAACTGTTTCTTATCTTATTCTCTGTTTTTGTTATTTTATTCCATTTCTTTTGTTATTCAAGACGGCAATATTTTTTCTTAAACAATATTGTTAGCAGTTATGATAATATGAAAGGAAAACTGTAAATAAAATACAACAACACGAAGTATCAATTCTTTATTATAAAATATCAAATAAAATATAAAATATCAAGTGGTTAAAAGATTAATAATTAATACTAAAAATTAAACTTATCTGAATCAATCTTAACGTCCAAAGAAAAAAGAAGTCGCCATCAACACAGAAATGGAACCAAAGAAGAACGAGAGAAATTTATTCAACAATTTGTTATCATTTTACAATATTACACTATTAATCCTTTTATAATATTTATTAACCGATTACGCTTAACCTTCGATACACATAACCGTCAAACGTGCAATTTCCGATGATTCATTTACAAAGTAAGCGCTGCGAGAGAACCGATCGGCATTGCCGAAAAGAAGTGACAATATTTCGATATATTCGACTATCGACTTAACATCTCTTTTTTTAAAAAGGATGGCTATTATAAATAATTTAATATCTCCACTTTCCCCCTAGTGTTGCAAGATTCGTGGGACGAATTCCACGGCGGGACCTGTGCATGCAAACACTACGTCATTGATCATGTAATTGATCGATTTCAGTATACTCGTATTCAGATTCAATATGGGCCATTTCTTGGCGCCCGGATGAATTTTTTATATCTTTAGTCAATATTAATATTAATGCTGCAAGAAATATTAATATATTAAATGCTATTTGTTAAGCATATATTGCCCGTACGCAATATATCTTATCATGTATTTGTATCTTTTATTAGATGTAAAACAAAAATAGAATGACATAAATAGCGCTAATAGCATCTCCCCAAACTCTAAATAATGTCAAACATAAGTTTATTAATTTTATACCATTTGGAATACATAATTTTTTACATACTTTTTAATACTCTGTAAAAAATATATAAGGAATTTATTACAAATATGTATAAATTGTATTTAAAATATGTTAATATATGCTCTCTTTCTCTTGTTCACAAGATTGATTCATTCTTGTTCACATTGATTACATAAAATCTCTGATGCATTATTATCATATTTTATGTTTTTACAAGACGGGCGTAACAATAACCGTATAATAAATAGTAAAACATGCACCACTGATGGTGGCTCACGCTGTCTCACGAATCTTGCAACACTGCTTCCTCCCTGCCATGGGAATACGACGTTAAGCGGAACGAGTTTCATCTAATTTCCCAGGGACCCACGACTTTCCACGCAAATCAAGATCTATCCCACCTCCCTTCTCGTGCTAAAGGGCTTACAACTTTTTAGGCAGGAGAATGTAATATATACCTTCCCACATAACAATATGTTATCAAAAAGGTTTCTAAAAGATATCTAATTCTGAATCTGATAACTTGGAGAAATTTCTAAAAAGTCGCATAAAGATATCTAATGCGTCATTTTTTGATAATAGAAAGATATCATAAAAATGATACCTAAAAGATTTCTCAAATTGTAAGTCTTTATGATATCCAAAGTTTATGTTAATATATAGAGTTTGTATTAATGACGTCTAAAAGAACTCTGTTATATATCCAAAGAACACAAAGTTATCTGAAAGATGACTTCTGTAAACATCTTCTAATTAGTCCTTAAGACTTTTTTTTAGTATTTTGGTACATGTAACGTTTAATAACATTAGATCTAAAACTAGATCTAAATTAATTTTTATAAAAAATTAAACAAAATATAAATTCTAACGAGTATGACTCAATATACATTCCATTTATGTGTATGACTGTCAATATATTGTATATTCCATTATGCCTGCAATGCTTGTGGTGTGATGTGTACAAGAGCCACTATCTTTCATCATAGTCCCCTTTGAGGACTTGCTTTCAAAAAATATTTCATGAATGTTCGTCAGAATTTATATCTCTCATAATGCTGTATCTTTTCTATCCCATATGGTTTTCAAACATAGAGAACCCAAACTCCACCACGTCCGTCTGGTGGCGAGCTCGCATATTGCTGAATGATGAAAATAACGAAAAGATATTTTTTTCATATTGTCTTTTCAGTAATACGAAAAGACGTCTTTTAGTCGACTTTTCGTTTTACCGAAAAGACAACCAGAGAAAGATGACGAAAAAATGTCTTTTTTAAGTTGTCTTTTCAACAAAACTAAAAGACTCTTATATTCAACTTTCATCTTGCTGAAGAGACAAAACAATCATACTTTTGTCATCTTAGACATTTTTTCGTTATCCTTTAGTATTTTGTGTTATCTTAAATTTTATAGGTCAAATTCTTGTGTTGAGTCTGCTTCTTGAAAATCTTATTTTTATGATATCTTAAAAAATGACAACAAATAGATTTCTCATAAAAGATATCATAATTATGTTTCTATCTTTGTTTCTGAATCAAATATAGCGACGCATGCGCATTTGTATGGCTCAAATACCATATAACATAATAATATCTTCCATAAAAGAACAAATTGATATCATTTAACATGATATCATAAAGATAAAAATTTCAAGAAATCTCTGACATGAGATATCTTAAAGAATTCTCCTAGTAGATGCCTCTGATAAATCATTATTATAAGATATCATTTAGACATTATTTTCAAGATAATTAAATGTTCGTCCACAGGCAAGGAGGAACATAAGTAAATTTTGCTTCAAATAAAAAGTCGTTACAAAATCACAAATGTTTGTTTTGAAACCAAATTTTCTTCTTTAAAACAAAAATTAAACAAGAAAATAATGTTTTTACAGAAAATTCTTGTTTTTAAAGCAGAACATTTATTTTAAAGCAAAGAATCTTTATTCTATCAGAATGTATTTTGTTAATAACTTTTACACAAATAACTAACTTGGGCTAAAACTTTCCGATGATCACTCAAAGCCATGACCTTGACACTATATGTCAAGGTCAAGGTCATCATAGATGGGTCCGTTGCTTTTAAGATTTATCGAACATTAATCATAAACAATACATCATATTTAATTTTTGTTACAGCTACAGAAGATAAGTTTGAACTTGTGTATAGGAAAAAGATCATAAACAATAAAGATGGAGTCGAAATAACATGTATCGCTGAAGGACTTTATCCTCAACCGGCTTTAAATATTTCTGTCGAGTAAGTGTCTTTTACATTCAACAATTTTTATTAAAACGCCCTTAAAATTATAAGAATTTAAGTAATTTTCCAATTTTTTTTTACATATAACATATACTTCTCCATTTTTTTTATGTGTCACCAGAATATCTCGATTTCTATATACGAGGGGGGACCCATAAGTTCCGGGAATTACGCTGTGGTGGGGAGGGAGAGTGGGGGAACCTATTGTTTGACCACATGTCCGTTAGTGTCACGCCACCTGCGTCAGTGTGCGAAGTTGTGTCGCTGTGAGTGCATCGGTTCGCCTGTGAGATTTTTTTTAGTAAAACAACTTTTTACATTTCGGCGAAAACTGGTTCTTCCATCATGACAACGCGCCGGCCCACACCGCCCTTTCCGTGAAGCAATTTTTGACCAAAAACGCCATGACACCAATTGTCCACCCCCCATACTCACCGGATCTAGCCCCCTGTGACTTCTTTTTGTTCCCCAAATTCAAAAGGAATATGAAAGGAAAGCGTTTTGCCACTGTGGAGGAGGTGAAACAAAAATCGCTGGAAGGCTTAAAGGACATCCCGATGAGTGAATTTAAAAACTGTTTTGAACAATGGAAGAATCGTTTGGAGAAGTGCGTTGTGGTCAATGGCGAATACTTTGAAGGTGATTAAAATTTGGTGTTAAAATATTGAGAAATAAAGAAGTTATGACGAAATTCCCGTTTTTTTTGGGTCCCCCCTCGTACTTTTCACCTCTTGTTTTCATTGTACAATCAAGGAAAATTAAAAAGGCAACTTACACTGTTAAATTCATAATGTCAAATTTTGCTTCAATTGAATTATGTTTAAGCATTCAGTTTCTGTAGAAACTGCTCCTTCTGTAGCACTGCTCCTGTCCAATAAGTTGTTAATTTGACTAAAAAACCACCAATTAATTTGACTAAAAAAACTAAAGTTGAGTAATTTAACTAAAGAGATACACTAAATTTGATTCAAATTTACTTTATTATTTTCTAAATATATACGTTAATATGGATAATGTCAATATCAATGTTAACCACACAAATGGATTAATTTAGATTTTGACTTATATGGAAGTTAAACTAAACATTATTTAAGAGATTTGATTATCATTGTATATCTAACAGTGCATCTCTGCACCAAATCAAAGGAGTTTCTGGAGTTTGCAAATTACTATTAGCACTTTTGGTGTTATTTAAATAAATGCGGTATTTTTCTTTGACTTTCCGATAATAGATAGTGTGTAGATTCTGATGTAGTTGATGTCACAATCTTTTAAGATTTTCCGTTAAAATTAAAATCATTCTTTTTACCCTTTTCATATTGTTTCATCTACAAAATTTCGACTTTTTAACAATACACGATAATAAAACTGCATCGACAAAAGTCTAATTGCACCAATAGCTTTCTATTATTCTTTCAATGACCATATTTTGCCATGCGACGCAACATCGTTACTTTGTATATGCTTAGCCGATTTTTTTCACCTCATTCAAGCGTGACGTTATTTTTAAGTGTATTAAGAACGCATTTGCAAATACTGCGAATGAATTCATTGTTTGTATCATATAGGAGGGCATGTTGATTTTCGTTCAAATGGTAGGGTGTTTTGAGAAAACAGATATTTCTTTTACCAATCGCGTAAGGTAATTTTTGTCGCTTTTTTCTCATTACCTTTCTTTAAAAAATTTTAGTGAAAAACCTTCTTTAAAAAAACAAACGACTGAACCGCATGAGTTTTTTTATACGTAACTAATCATTCAATAATTATATTTGCAGTATGTAGACGTAATACATTGCATTAGAAAAGATGCAATAAATATCCGTATGGTCTTGATATAGCGTTGTAATAATCTTTTTCTAGGAACTTTAGATCGCCAGGATAGACTTGTTACGCAAACTTGAGTGCGAAGTTCCTAAAAAATATGTATTAATTTGCGTCGAGAGAAACGTCGCGTTATCTGTATTCCTAATGGAAAAGATTTTGCTTGATAAAAATAATATTGAGATTTTGATATTGACTATCTTTAGTAAAATGATGATCGCGTTGCTTTCTTTTTCTCATAAGATCATTGAATACTCTTTTAAGACTTCCATGAGCACTTTTACAGAAGTTATGTATATCGCGGATTATCCGTGCAGGATTGTCAGATTGTCAGAAGCATATATAGATCGCCAACTTCGGACTCTAGGTAGCCCATAATTCGCCAAACAATAGTGGCAACATCGCCAGCAGTGTAGCCAGCTGATGACCTTTTTTGAAGGGGGGAGGAGGATAATACCATCTTACTTAGACTGTGTTCCAAAATTCGCTGCCAGCACTGAAAATCTACACTTTACTTCACGTATACTGTACATTTTCAGCACTGGCAGTAAATTTTGGAACACAGCCTTAGTATCACATTCTTTCAAATTCTATATTATTTTATCCTTCTTTTATCATTATGCTTATAGAACGCATATTTTCTTTCTATTTTTAACTACTATACTAAATATACTAATTATTGCATCACTCTTTTTGGCATTACATCATTAAGTACATCTAATCTTCAATCTTTATCAGCAACTAGAATGTTTAAAGCTTCCTCCAACACTTCATCATCATTACTACATTTTTCGCGGATATACTTTGTATCTTGCAGATTTGTATACATACTTGAAGTAAACAATTCATATATTTGTTGCGTGCATTTAAATACGTTGCAACATTTCTTTCTTACCTGCATTGACATTTCAATTCATACCAATGTCTCCAAATATTTTTAAACATAGCAAATTTCGAAACATCGTTTTTATTGTGTTTATTATTAAGAATACCCTTTCAATGTCAGCATTATTAAATGGCAGTGTAAGAACTCGTAAAACAAACTCTGCCAATTCCTTGAAGACCATTTTTCTTTTGGCATCCTAATGACTGAAAGATTTCACTCCAAAATTCTTTAATTGTTTGGCACTTTTCCATCGAAATACTTTGTCCACGGTATTACAGGAAGCTTCATCTATTAAGTTTCAAGAACATCAATGTACCTTCTCCTGCAATATACATTTATTTTTGCTTCTCACAAATAAAACATTCTGTTGATTTTTTAATTTAAATTCCACTTTTCATTTTCAATTTACGTATCAAATTCAAAGATGGACAATGAAATTCAGGCTAAGACTTCAGGTTAATGGACTTATACATATCTTTGGTGAAAAATACTTCACAGCTTCAATTAAGTTTAGGTTGGCAGGAAACCGTTTCACTATTTGTCTGCATAAAACAAGAAAGCTTGCACATTGTCTTTTCACGAGCTTTAATTGCTCCGATGATAGATTACAAATATGAGCTTTTCATCGAAAAAAATTCTTCTAAGTCTGCAAATTCGATAGAGAACCAAGCATTTTTATCATTCACAGCTCTTTCCACTATTTCCAAATCTTCCATACAAAGTACATTGGAATTAGTGGAATGTTCCATGTACAAATAATTAATTTAAATAAATCCTGCGAGCCATTGACATCAACAGAATACGGAGTTCCCGAAATAATTCTGTTACTTCAGCTGTTTGATTTTGGAAAAGAAAATTTACTGAGTTAATCTGTTCAAGCACATGTTTTAAGAAAATTAGGTACAGTATATTTGAATCATCCTTGTACAAATTATGCAAAATCGTAGCTATGTAATACGGGGTCGAATATGAAAAGACTAATTGACCATGATTGATCAATTTTCTACGACTTAAGATCTTACAACTACTACGACTTCTATTGTAGACCCCGCATAACAATTTTCCTTTGGATTATTCTTTCGATAAAATGAGTTTTTAACTCAAGACATTTGTTCTAATGTTAATTTTACAGGTATACTCCATATAAGTCATTCCGTTTTACAAAGAGGAGTTAACTTTTTATATGCCATCATTAATGGTAGCATATAGGTCTTTGTATAAACTTTGTCTCATACTAGAATTCAAAAACCATGATCGAGTTTCTTTAATTAAAAATTCTAATGTTTCTAAAAGTTTCTTGTCTGCGAATGATGAACACAAATGTAATAAATGATATATGCATTTTATTAATTGCAGCTGTAATATCTGTTACAAAATTTTAATACTTAAAATTTAAGTAACTCGTATAAATGTTGAATAATATGCTTGTATACATAAAAACTACAGATTATCACTTCCAATGATAAATTACTATCTCTTTCAAAAGCGTGAATAAGGAATAATTTGATCCACATATTGCATTTGCCCCATCTATCCTAATCCTATCATTTTATTAATATCAAGATTGACTTGGGATAAATATTGCTAGAGCATCTTTCAAATCAATGGCCGTTTGTTTTTCAATTTAATAAAGCCGAAAAAGCTAATCATCTATTTTATATTTCTTGCTATAATACCTGAGAAAGTTAAAGAAACAGAATAATCCTTTTTTGATTTGAAAACTGAATAGAAGTTCATATATGACCAAGTACCATAATACTATCCTATGTATGTTAAATATTATCTGCGTATTCAAATGAAAAAAAAAACATATTTTTTTTTTAGAGTAGCACGCAAAGAATGCCCATCGATAGGAGAATTGAAGTTACGAATCATTCTATTCCAATCTTGAATTATATCATCTCTTCTCCTATTTTTACATCTCCTACTGATAAACAACTATTAAAGTTGGAATCTGACATATGTAAATTCATATCGGCACATCCTAATATTATTTTCACACACGCTGACAAAAGTAACGTCACGGTTGCCAAAGACACGTACATAAATAAAATGACCATTATTAAGTGACTGACAGACATATGTACCCATTAAAAAAGATTCTACCAAAAAACTTACAACTCTAAGGTCTATGCTCAGTAGATAAAAAACGAAAGACCATATCAAGGACTCTAAGTATAAAATGTTATATTGCAGTGACGGATTACTTCCGAAAGTCTATGGATTGTCAAAGATTCACAAACCGGGTTGTCCTCTTAGAATTATTGTTTCCTCGATAGGCAGTCCACTATACA